AGCTCGAGCTCGAGCTCGACACAACTGACACGAGCTCGAGCTCGAGCCAAAAAAAGAGGAGCTCGCGAGCTCGAGCTCGAGCTCGAGCTCAACAAAATAAACTCGAGCTCGAGCTCGAGCCAGCCAAAATAGGCGAGCTCGGCTCGAGCTCGGCTCGTTTACACCCCTAATTGTAATGTTGAGGGACGAAAATGAAACAACAGAGACACGAGGGACTAAATAATAAGATAAAGGACTACTAGTCATGAGATTTGGTTAAAAAAAAAAAAAAAACAACTGATTAAACAATTTCGAAATTGGTTTACTTATCAGCTCGAGCAGCTGAAAGCCGTTGTTTCAAAAGCCGATATTCAGCTCGAAGGAAAGCTTGTGTTTTCTTGCTCTCTTGAAGCTCGTTTTGCAGCTCGGCTGCGTTCTCTCTGCAGAGCCGAAATAGGACAAAATTGCAAGAAAAGCGAAAATTCTGAGTTTAATTTCGACAAAATAGGTGAAAATTACTAGGAGGACAAAATTAATTTATGTACATTTAATGGGGGGGAGAATTTGATAATATCTAAATCCCGAAGGGCTACATTGATATATATATTTTTTAACAAAATATATTCTTAAAATAAAGGGACTGTTTGGAACGGGTTATAATTTAATTTGTTGGGAGAACAATTATTACTAATTAATTAATAGACCATCTTAAAAGAATTAGCACTAATCCATAATTTAATTACAACCTTTTCCCCCTTTGAATGATTTGGAGAGTGCATCACACCGCTTTGTCTCTTGAGAAAAAGACACAAATAAAGTTCCATTTGACAAGCTTTTAAATAAATGAACATTAAACATTAAAAACAATATATATATATATATATATATGATGGTAAAATATAGCTCACCTAGGGTGGTGTAGAGAAAGGATTGAGAGAGCAAAACGGATCAGTAACTTAACAACTTGATGATCCTGAGGTCCCTGCGAAAAGAGCACACGTGAACTAAGCCGGGGGTTGATCCGGCGGAAACCCCCTCCGACGCTCAAGTCAAATGTACGGATCGTAGAGAGAGTAGAGAGAATAAAACTCGAGGTGAATTGTCAATAATTAGAACGTACCTTTACGAATGAGTAAACCAACTATTTATATATCGTTGAATGGGTTGGGCTTACTTTGTTGGGCCCAAGCCTTATTTTGAAGGAGCTTGGGCTTTCGTGTAATGGGCCCACATGTATGTGATTGAGCTTTCTTGTAATGGGCCTAATTGGTAGATAAATTTGAGGGCCCATTGGGCTGGCCCATTTATGTATATCATTAAGCCCCCCAACTCTCGATTCGAGACGGGGACGTGTGTAGAGGGATCCGGGTCGTGTCGAGAGTTAATTGCGGCGTTGATTGAATTGTTTCCGTTGGCGGTGAATTAATTCCTTAATTTAAGTAAGGAATAATTGTATTTATTTGGCAGCGATGTATATATTTAAGGGTTTTAAATATTATACCAGAGCCAGATAAATAGACTCCTTTTGCGGTAGAAAGTATTAAACTTCAACTCTTGCAATAAATATGAGTATGTTTTTTGAACTCTAGGTCTTCTTCTGTGCTATTTTTCTCTTGATTTTTTTTTTTTTGTGGTAGAGTAGAATTTTTTTGTTTCTTGATTGTTTTGTCGGTGAGAATTATTTTTCTCATGTCGAACTCGGGTAATTCGAAATCTTTGCGAATTAAACTTCGAGATCCGGTTGAAGGGGGCAAGAAAACTTTTGGTACAGTGGGCATGGAACGCGGGAATCTTGTGGTATCGAGTGCGAAAAACGGATCTACATCCGGAGGTGCGCGAAATTCCGTGCAGATGGGGGAGGCAGATGGCTTGGAGGTGGAGGGCGGCTCGAGCCGCGCTTCTAGCCACTCAAAAATGTGTGAGGGCGCGCACTTCAAGGGTAGAGATAAGCCGAGCCGAGCCGAGGAGCTGGGAGTTGGGTCGGCGACTGAGAAGGGGGGGACCAGTGCACGTGGTCCAATGGGAGGAAGCCACGTGCGCACGTCTGTTACCGAAGCATAGTCACGCGCGCGCGCGTCGGGCGCTGGAATTGAGAGACGCGCGCGCGTGGCAACCAATGTGCAGCAGCCGGACGCGCTTCCCAAGCGACGCGCGCGCGCGTCGGATGGGCGGATGGAGGCGGACGCGCGGAGTTTGGCGAGTGGGGAGGCGCCACGTGGGCGGGAACCGGTTGATGACGCGCGCGCGCGTGAATCAGCCCCTTTTGGGGTCACGCGCGCGCGTGAGAGCGCGTTACAGCTCGGTCTTGAGCCCGGTTCGGGCGAAATTCATGGGCAAATTTCCGAGGGTGCTGATGCGCGTGGTGTTTTAAACGGGGGAAGTTTTGGACGGCGAGAAATCATTGAATCGTGGAGTGACGATGTAGAAGTGCGTAACAGTATTAATATTTGCCCTGCTGTTGATGAAGCGGATTCTAGTAGAAGTCGCTATGGGCGTCGAGTCGTGAATTTTGGGAGTGATAGTGATGATTCGAATCAAGCTCCTTTGGCGAGTGATCATGCGGTGCCAAGTAACGAAATTGAGTCGACGGATGAAGAGGAGGAGGAAGATGATATTCCGCCAGGTGATGTTGAGGTTGACACGAGGAGGCAAAAGAAAAATAAGCCAATTAATTTGGACTTAGTTAATTTTGACAGTGTATTGACGGAAGAGCATTTGCATTCTATTCGTCGTTTATCTGGAGCGCCGAGTAATGTCGAGTTGTTGTTGCCTCGGAAGGGCAACCGTTTGTATTCGCCACCCGCTGGGTTTCATACGGTATTTTTGGGGTACTTGACGTGCACATCTCAGATTACACCGCATCCCACTTTGTTGAAGGTTTGCGAGGAATTCAAGATTGGGTATAGTCAGCTAACGCCCACTGCTGTTCTGATGTTCCAGGCGTTTCATTTTAGGGTGGTTCGAGTAGGTCTGCCTGTGTCTGTGAGTTTATTTAAGGCGTTATTTACGTTACATCGGCCCAATAAGATGCCTTTCTTTTGTTTTCATCCTCGCGTTCCTTACCAATTCGTGAAGAGTGTGAAGCTATCTTTGGGGAAATGGAAGACCTATTTTTTTTATGTGAGGGCTCCCACTTTTGACGTTCCCGTAGTTTGGAATCCTACCTGCGAGAGTTTCACGATAACTGCGAATATGGCGAAGAGGATTGAGGAATCTGGGTTGTGTGATGTGGAATTTGATCCGAGGGGTTTGATACCGACGGCGAAGGGTCAACATCGTATATCCTTTTGTTGCCTTGACTTGTGGTTTTTTTTTTTTAATTTTGTTATTTTTTTTTTAGTGGTATACCCCATGTTTCTTATGTGTTTGTTATCTCTTGTAGATGGGGGTATCACCTTAGCGGCGCTTCGAGCTAAGGCGAATGGGTCGTCAAAGAAGGCGTCGAAGAAGGTTCCCTCTATGTTGGGAGGTTCTTCAAATGGTTTGCCTCGTGAGGAGGTCCATGTAGAAAGTCCTCGAGTAGTCGCAGATGACCGTAGCAGTGCTGGTGAAGTGGAGGGGCGTCCACCGACGAGGGATCGTGGCAAGGGAAAGAGGGTGGATACCGAGTATGTGGCTGTGCCTAAGCGTCCACGGGTAGAAGCAGAGGAGACTTATGCTTTCCATGGTGGGGGTGGGAAACAATTGTTTACCTATGGTGTGAATCGCGACGGTAAGGAGTCGTATTGGGATGTGTCGGACCATGATCTGCCTATGTTGAGTACCGAGGGATTCGTTCGGGAGTATGATCGTGCTCGGATGTCTGGTAAGGGCCCTTCTTACATGTTGGAGTTAGCCGGTGGGGACATATGTCGGGTGAGTCTTTGTTTATTTAAAACAAGATTAGATGTTACTCCCTCTCTTCCTTGTGTAAAATTTTTTTTTTTTTTTATTTTTTTGTTTTTTTTTTTTTGTTTTTAGTTGGTAGCGACTTGGAGATATCTCGTGGAGCACGGTAGGAATGTGGAAGCTAGGAAGGAAGATGATCGGGCTCGAAGTCAAGCGCGTGAAGATGAGCTTCTAAGCCAGTTGGAGGAAGCGCGGTCCGATCTTGCTCTACGCTCTGAAGAGCTTGCTCGGGGGACAGATGAGCTTGATGAGAGGACAGATGAGCTCGAGGTTATCCGAGGTGATGCGAAGGCGTATAAGGATGATGTTCATAAGTTGAACGAATGCTACGACCAGCTCAAAGAGAAATATGAAGTTGAGAAGGCGACGGGGAAGAGGTTCCTCACGACATCAGGTGGTGTGGCTTATAGGGAGTCCGTCGTGGAGGAAACCAAGGCTAGCTTTCGAGGTAGTGACGAGTGTGCTGCTATGATTGAGGAGCATGCATTGGCTGTGGTTTATAAGCCCTTAGTGCGTGCTTGTCGCAAGTATCTGAGCGATGCGGGTGGTATCAGCGAGAAAGTGATTCGTGGGATGGAAGCTGGCATATCCGACGAAGAGGAGGATGAGGTAGATGTCAATGGGACGGGCACAGAGCTCGTGAATGATATGGTTGCGGATGATTCCACCGTGGTAGGGGAGTTTAGACTTATCTGTTAGGATAGTTAACTTTCCCCTTTTATTTTTATTACTATTATTTTCCTTCTTTTTTTTTTTTTTTTTTTTTTTCTGCTATGGATTTCGTAGTTTATTTTTATCGCTGATGTAGATGGGTATGTCCACTACTATTTCGTTTGAATTCTTCCCTGTTTGACTTTGAAGTTTAATATTTCGATTTATTTATTTTGACATTGTCAAGAATTAATGCGTTGCTTATATGTATTTACATTAGCATATACGCGATGTACTTGAGGAGGGGATCAGTCTCCCAAGGTTTTTGGTATGGGTCGTGCCCTTTGTTCGGACCGCGTGGGTCTTAACTATATTTGTCCGTGGCCACGATTTAAAGTTAATACCTCGTGAAACAAATAAATGGACTTAGACAATCCAGCTGGCCAGGCTATATGGATTTTCTAAGTCTCTCTAAGTGTTTGTAAGGTTGTTTTGAATTGGATTCTTGGTAAGAGGTAACTTGTGTAGATGTGATAGCACAAAGAGTAAGGCAAGATTGAATTGATTAATTCGATGATAGCAAAGTTGCATTGTTACAAGCCTATGTGAGGCGAATGTAAATAAATAGTTAATATGATAGGTCTGCGCGAGGCGAAGGTAAATAATTACCGCTAAACAAATAAATTGTCTTGATAAATAAAAAAAATTCTAAGTGATTGTACTACGCTTGTTCTGCTTCCACGTCTTCCTTGTACTCGTTCGTTTCGATATGCTGATGGTAGGCTGACTTCTTTTGGTGTCTCTATGCCTGTCAAGTATAATTGAGAGAAAGAGAATTTTGTTTAAGCATTTGTAGACTTAGTAATTGTAGCTAAGGGGATGTGCATTGTCAATTCACGTACCCTAACACGGGGATGGTTTTCTTCCTCGCACTTCGAGATATGAAATCAATTTGTGAGTTGCTGTGGTTTGCTGTGTGATTGTGCCTGTTAGATGGAATGATTTTGTCATGTTAGTAAGAGTAAACGAAGGCATGCGTGTGTTGTAATCTAGTGGAAGTACTGTTACCCTTGGCGATGTGGTATGGGGCGGCTTCGTTCTTTGGGCCAATGATTGAGCAATATGCATCCTCTCGTAATTGACTCTTACTCTGTTAGAAGATGGTGAGATGTGAATACGAATTGCTGATGTAAGTAAATTTAGCAGCCCCCCGGTTTAGGTGGGACGTTCACGCACCTCATAATGTAGTAGAAAGTTTCCAAAGCATGTAGAAACGGTTTTGCGAGACGAGTGACGTGGAAGACCGCGGAGCATGCATGGGTAATGTTTTGTAAGTAATTTTCATATAGGGGGGGCATAGGTGGTTACTTCAACGGATTTGATTTAGGTAGATGTATACCTTAGGCATAGAACCGTTTGAGGTTCCCTATATTCCAAGTTCTGGGTATAGGGTGTCCGTCAGTGTTCTCGAGGCGATATGCTCCGGTGTTGACCACTTTGGTGATTTTATACGGTCCTTTCCACTTTGGGTCGAGCTTACCGATGGGGTGGGAGGCTTCAGCTTTTCGGAGGACTAAATCTCCAACTTGAAAGGAGCGAGGGCGGACCTTTGAGTTATATGCCTTGGCCTATACATCTGTTGCCGGATGTATGCGATCTCACGTAACTCATCTACGAGGTCTAGGCTTCCCCGCATAGCCTCTTCATTAGCTGCTGGGTCATAGTTGGTGATTCGCCAAGATGGTTCTCCGATTTCGACGGGTGCGATAGCCTCTGTTCCGAAAGATAGATTGAAGGGCGACTCTCCGGTTGCTGTTCGTGGGGTTGTGCGGTAAGCCCATAGCGCGTTAAGCAATTCGTCCACCCACTTCCCTTTGGCACTTCCAAGCCTTGTCTTGAGGTGTTGGAGTATGGTGCGATTCGTGACCTCGGTCTGGCCGTTAGCATGTGGATTGGCTACGGATGTGAAGAACTGTTTGATGTCTAAGCCGAGGCACCAATTCTTTACTTTGTCACCGCAAAATTGGGTTCCATTATCCGAGATGATTGAACGTGGGATTCCGAAGCGGCACACGATGTTTTTCCATAGAAATTGGATGACTTCTTCTTCTCGGATGCGTGCTAAGGGTTCAGCCTCCACCCATTTGGTGAAGTAGTCTACTGCTACAATGAGGTATTTGCGTCCTCCTGTGGCGGGCGGGAATGGTCCAACTAAATCCATCCCCCATTGGGCGAAAGGGATGGGGCTGTCAATTGGTTGCATTAACGCCGCTGGCATGTGAGTGATATTGGCATGCTCTTGGCAGGGCTTACACCTCCGGACTAATCTTTTCGCATCTTCATGCATCGTTGGCCAATAGTAGCCCTGCCGCAGTAGTTTGAGAGCTAAAGTTCTCCCGCTCAAGTGATTGCCACAGATGCCTTCGTGTACTTCTCTGAGTACATAATCCGCTGTGGTCGGGTCGAGGCACTTGAGATAGGGGAATGAGAAATCTCGTTTGTACAGTTCTTCTCCCACTATAGTGAAGCGGGCGGCTCTTGTTTTTAACTTCCGCGCTTCAGTGGGATCCGTTGGAAGTTCCCCCTTCTTGAGATACTTTAGAATTGGAGTGAACCAGCATGGTTCATCCTCCTCGGTGTAGTGTACTTCAGTAGGCGAATTTATCTTCGGCTGAGGTGAGGTGAGGAGCGTCACTTTCCGACTTCCGATGCTGGCCATGGAGCTCCCTAGCCTGGCTAATTTGTCAGCATGGATGTTATTTGATCGAGGTACTTGTCTTATCTCGTAGCTCTCGAACTTAGATAAGAGAGTGTGTGCGAGAGCTAAGTATTTGGCCATGGCGTCTTCTTTGGCCTCGTACACTCCGAGTACTTGGTTAACGATGAGCTGGGAGTCGCTTTGGATTAGGAGCTTGCGCGCTCCGGCTGCTAGGGCGAGGCGGATTCCCGCTATCAGTGCTTCGTACTCAGCGACGTTGTTTGAGGCTGTGAATTCAAATCGTTGAGCGTATTCGAACTCATCTCCATCAGGGTTCGTTAGTACGATACCCGCTCCCCCTCCTGTGGCAGTGGAAGACCCATCCACGTTGACAGACCAAGTAGGTAGAGAAGTGCTTTCTTCTACGGAAGTCATTTCGACTAGAAAATCCGCCAATACTTGCGCTTTGATGGCCGGGCGGGGTTTGAATTCGACCCCATATTCGCTTAGCTCTATCGCCCATTTTGCTAATCGCCCGGATGTCTCAGGACTCCTTAGTATTTGCTTCAGAGGATAATTGGTGAGAACCACCACTTGATGTGACTGGAAGTAAGGTCGAAGCTTCCGAGCTGCGTTGATGAGGGCGAGAGCGAGTTTCTCCATGTTGGTGTAGCGTTGCTCGGCTCCTTGGAGGGCGCGACTTATGTAGTATATGGGTTGGTTGCCTTTTCCTCCATCTCGGATGAGGACTGCGCTGACGGCATTAGCTGAGGTAGCTAAGTACAGTAGGAGGGTGTCTCCGGGCTGAGGTTTTGTGAGCAGGGGTGGGGATGCTAGGTACGACTTCAGCTCAACGAATGCTTTTTGACATGCTTCATCCCTTTCGAATTTCTTTCCTTCCCTTAAAATTTTGAAGAAGGGGAGGACCTTGTCCGCTGATTGAGAAATGAATCTATTCAAAGATGCCAAACAACCGTTAAGCTGTTGGACTTTCTTGATAGATGTTGGTGGAGGCATGGAGGTAATTGCTTCGATTTTTGCGGGGTTAGTTTCGATTCCCCGCTGTGAAATCATGTATCCCAAAAATTTGCCACCTCGAACTCCGAACGAGCATTTGAGGGGGTTGAGTTTCATTTTGTATTTTCGCAGGGTAGCGAAGCATTGATCCAGATCAGTTAGGTGGTCCGAGACCTTGACACTTTTGACGAGCATGTCGTCGATATACACCTCCATATTCTTACCGATCTGATCTGCGAACATGGCGTTCACAAGACGTTGGTAAGTGGCTCCCGCATTTTTTAATCCGAAAGGCATGACTCGATAGCAGTAGATGCCTTGGTCAGTGATGAAGCTGGCCCTCTCTTGATCTTCTGGTGCGAGCAAGATTTGGTTATACCCTTGATATGCGTCGAGGAAGCTGAGGAGCTCACATCCCGAAGTTGAATCGATGAGTTGGTCGATTCTAGGTAAGGAAAATGGGTCCTTAGGACAAGCTTTGTTGAGGTCTGTGAAATCCACGCATAACCTCCACTTTCCCCCGGGTTTTGGAACGAGTACTACGTTCGACAACCATTCAGGATACTGAACTGGTCGTATATGACCCGCCTCTAGAAGTTTCGCCACTTCTGCCTTGATGTGCTTGTTGCGTTCGGGTCCAAATGTTCGTTTTCTTTGTTTGATCGGCTTCAACCTTTTGTCGATATTAAGCCGATGTAGAGCTACATGAGGGGGGATGCCCGATAAATCTTGAGCTTTCCAAGCGAACACATCTCCATTGTGCCGCAAGAATTTGACTAATTGCTTCTCCATCTCAGGATCTAAATCGGATCCGATGCGTAGGAGTTTGGAGCCATCTCCAGGGGTGAGCTCTATGAGCTTAAGCTCTTCGACAGCTGCTAGCTTGATGCTATCGTATGGTACACTGATGAGGATTTCTTTATTGTCCTCAATGATCGCATTGACCCACTTCCGTTTGTCGGATTTTTGGGTGTCGTCTCCCCTTCCGGGTGGTTTAGGCTTTTTGGAGGGTTCTCGTAGGGCCCTTGCGTAGCACTCTCGGGCGAGACGTCTGTCTCCAAGTATTTTCCCCATTCCATAGGGAGTAGGGAATTTCCACTTCTGATGGTAGGAGGAAGGTACAGACTTGAATGTATGGATGGCTGGCCTCCCTAAGATGACGTTGTAGGGAGATGGCTTGTCGACGATGAGGAATTTGATTAGCTTGGTGATTCGACAAGGGTCTTCCCCTAAAGAGACGGGCAGCTCTACCTCTCCCATGGATAAAATGCATTCTCCTGTGAATCCTTTCAGGGGTGTGGAGACGG